GAGAGAGAGAGAGAGAATCGGTTGAAAATCCTAATCCTAATCCAAGCAAGCGGCCAATTAAATCGAATGAAAAACAGCCGGGCGTAACGGTGTTCCCAGGTCTGGTTTCAAAATAAGAGGAGCAAGGAGCGTAGGTTAAAACAACTGACGTCGATGGGCAGGAGCCCGTTCTTCGGCGGCTCTAGAAAAATGAGGGGCTTCCCCTTGAACCTGAATCCCGGTGCTTTGGGCGGCGAGGACGGACCGCCGCCCGGTTTTCCATATTTCGGCGCGGAGAAGTTCGAATTCGGTTACGGCGGGCCCGTGGCATTTCACCATGAATTCTTTGGTGCTCATCCGCCCCCTCATCCGCATGGACCGCCCTTCAGCGGACCGGGCAATCCTGGTGAGTCTTTGGAATTCTTCGCCACCATCCATTCCATTCCTTTCGATCCCTTTCTCCTTTAGGGAAAACAACGACAAGGAACACGCGGCATTATTTTGCGCATTGTCGCGATATTACGCAGCTGCGAAGAATTTCGAAAGAATCTCGTGAACGAAACGATCCGTCTATTCGAAAGCTAGTATCGAAAGCAGAACCTTGTCTCTCGAGTTGTGTCGCGGCTATAATAAACATCGTAGCGGGTTAGGTAGGTCGCGATAATTATGACAGCCGGGTTCGGAGATAGGTGGCCGGATACGATCCTCTCTGAATAGTACACGTAATCTGTTTCTGACAGGTTTGGACCCGGCGAGTTTAGCGGGTATGGCGGCCGCAGTGGCGGTGACAGGGGAATATCCACCTCCGGGTGCGGGAGGCGGCCCTCCGGAATTTCTCACGGGCCCTCCTGGACAGGGGCCCCCTGCACCTTCCGGCGGTAGTCCTGGAGAGTTCCTAGCACCTTCAGGTATGGATTCAAATTCTTTCTCGAGGAAAGGTTCACGCCTTTCTGTCGAAAGATGGAACGTTTCCTTTTCTTTTCCTCTCTCTTTTTGATTTTTCGCAACTACTTCGCTACTCTATTTCGCAACATAATCACTTTCTCTTTCTTTCCTCCCGATGTACGCGATTAATTGTTTAATATACTGAAGCGAATCGCGATTAACGAGACTTTGGGGTGTGGGTGGAGTGTTGGAAACTTTGACAAATTGTAACGTGTACGGTTACACGAGCATCGATATAGTAGAAAGTTTTCGCGCACAAAATTATCGCGCGATCGAAACCTTTCCACCAACACTTTATTCGTGCGTTTGACGAAGGAACAATCGGTTTCTTCCTTTTTTTTCTTTCTTTTCTCTCTTCTTCTTCGAATCTCGATGTTTCTGTGTAATATTTCTCTGTAAATTTGGGGAAGAGAAAGAACCGATTTGGATTTGATGTTTCTCAGGTGGAGCACAGGGTAATCCCAGTGCCGGTGGGAATGGTGGCGGTCCAGGTGGCGGCGGCGGCGGGGGTGGGTTCCTGGAGCCGCACCAGATGCAGAGCGAAGGGCTGGCCTGGTAGTACGAGTTTTAATTAACGTTTATTTTTTTCGTGTTTATGTTGCTTTCCATCGACCGAGCGAAATATCGATCGAATTTCGAAGAAAAATCGCGCGTGAGCCGATGGAGAGATCGTACGACTTTGTTCCGGCTTCGAAGACTTTTGCCCGCGAGATGAAGTTGTGGCGAGAGTCGGGAGCCAGGTCGATTTTGCGTCTTGTACGTTTCTGTAAGATACGCGTACGATAAGAAGATCGATCGTTTAGCTTCGTTTCTTTCACGGTTATCATTGTCATTATTAACATTATTATCTTTATTATTATTATTATTAATATTATTTTATTATTATTATTATTATTATTATTATTATTATTATGATCGTTGGCCAACGCCAACGTTACTATTTTATTATTATTATTTTTATTATTATTATTATTATTATTATTATTATTATTATTATTATTATTATTATGAGTTATTAAATATTATTATTAATATTATTGTGTATAAAATTTCGAAATGTCCTATCGTGTAATATTATACCCTCCCTGTTGATTAATTTTCGACGTTAATTTTAAGAGAAATCCTGTAGATATCTGCTGTTCTACACCCGAGAAATACATGCGAAGACACGTAAAAGGAAAAAAAGGAAAAAGAAAAAAAAAGATCATCGGAAAAGAAAAAAGACATAACGTTACATCTAAAATACGTAAAAAAAAAAAAAAAAAAA